CATCGTAACTGCTGTGGCACGCTGTCTGTGACAGTGTTGATGAATCTTCGTAGCTGGAAATACTTCCGTTCAAGCGTTTTTCTGCAATGGACATACATAAATGGACCGTTAGCCTGATGCTGAGGGAAGTTTTCATTCGGTTTTACCTGCAACACGCAGCAGTCTGGCCAGGCTGAGGAGGAGAGTGGACTGTCTGTAGGCAGTAGGGCACTGAGAGATGCACTCCTTTATCAATGATAGACGATCCGTCCGCAGACGCACTGCAGAGACAAAGAGGAAATGAGAGAAAAGAACAAAACAAAGACTAAAAGTTAAGATCTAGCAGAAATGCAGTATAAACAGACTAGAATAGCCAAAATGTGAAGCAACAATCTGGTAAACTGCATAATTTGTCACATGAATATATATTTACACAAAAACACACTGACAGTTGGAGACTTTATTTTTCACATGGCCATATATTTAGACAGAGCCCAAAACCTGGCTGTGACAGATATACTTTTTTCATGTCAATGTAAAGCATATATGTTTGTTTTTTTACTCTATTTTATTAATTGCATTAAAGACTTTTAATCTGTTTAACAACAAGGGCTGTTTGGTCAAAATTATGGGGAATTTGTACTATTTTGTGGCATTTCAAAGCAAATACATAAATATTGAGATATATACAGTACAATACAGTTGTAAAAACTGTAAAAATCTGCAGTCAGTATGAAACATATATTTTACACACTTCCTTACATACCATTTTGAAAAATAGCATGCCTTATAAAGTCTGCACTGTGCAGTATGCATTAGCTAGCACTCCATTTAAAACACAGCAAAGATCTAAACTAAAAAAAAAAATTTATGAAAAACACCAAATTCACTGCATGCATTCTCCTCACTTCCTGTCATAACGGGCAAGTACTTGTGATGTGTGGTAATTGGATGGACACAAAGCATGTCTCAGCTGTCTGACTGAGCACAGTTTAAAATATTGAGCTGGAAGTGGTCTGTGCTGGAGGTCACGCTGGTCTGAAGCAGGGAGGGGGCCGAGCGGGCCGTGAGTTACAGGCCTGCGGGGGAGCAGACAGCTCCATCTTCTGAGGAGACACTGTGGGGGCAGCTCCTGAACCACATACAGACCAGCCAGCCATCAGCAGCCCCTGCCAAAGCCTGCTTCCAAAAACAGCCGCGGATCTGTGTGTGTGGCACTAAGAGGTTTGTGTTTACTTGAACGTGAGCGTCATTGATTACAGTTTAGCTTTATCGCTCACTCTTTTACTTGTAGTGGAGGGTATACGCAGATATACGGCATATACCCACTTCTTTATCAGTCGGCTTTGCGTATACCCACCTCTAAATCCCCTCTGATGTGCATTATTCATTAGTGTCCTGCATTAGCCAAAATCATGACAGTCCACCATGACTAGCTAATCAAATCACATGTAAATAAATGCCAATATTCCCTAAACATACCCAGTAAAGACCAGTAAAGTCAGGATGCACCGGCTTCCCTTTAAATTTGATTGATGATTGCGCCCGCGCCAGCCTCTCATCTCGACAAATCACGTGAATGTAAGCATCGGAGTCGATCTGGGGCGTGAGTGCATGTCAGGGGAGGAGCGAAGAGTGATAAAATAATATTTAATTATTAACTACTAATTTGAATCAGTACATTATAATGAAAACAATACCTTAAAAAGGAAAAAAAGCATGTTTTTGCGATCAGATTTTTTAAATCGGTAAACCCCTGTAAACTTTTCAGTCCAAGGATCCAGTAAACGAATGCCTTCAAACAGTAGCCTAAGTTCAAAACAGCTACAGAGAAAACCCGACCGGTTTCATCAGAGATTGCTTAGAGTCATGTCCAGAATTATTCTTTTCGGCGTGTATTTGGCTTAAAAGCACGAGTGTTTTATAATGGATGTTGCTGAAGCCTGAAGGTGTTTTTTAGATTCTGAATGGATCCGTATAGTAGCCTGTACAGTCAGGTCAAGGCAGTAGGTTTAGTAATCTTTTGGCTTCTCCTTGTGGTCCTGTTTGATATCGCAGCTTGCCTAGTGCTTAATTGTATTAAAATGCTCTAAACAATTTTATTATAATTTTATTTTTTCGCACTATATAGCATAGCCTATACATAAATTGTAAAAGGTATGGGGGAGTAGAGTAGGCAGGGGGTTACTATTTGCCCGTTACTGTATGCCATGGGAGAAACAGTCAGTCAAACATAGGAGTAGAGCTGCACAATTCTGGATAAATTGATCACAAATTAAAAAAAAATTTTTTGGTATCAAATAGAGATCATGATTCTCCTATGGATAACTAAACAAAATAGCTTGTCTACTAGAGGTTCTGACGAAATGTTAATTGTTGCAGTCTATGTCATTTTTTACATTTTAATATTTATTGCAAAATCTGCACCCCTTTTGTGGCTAATATTAATTTCATAATGATCCTTACTTCAGTAAGTCAAGTAGCAGAAGTTACAGAAAGTGAAAATGTGCTAATACTATTGGCCCATTTTGGGGTGAACTAAATATGCAAGACTAGTCTTGACTCTTACATGTCACTGTTTATAACACAGGCTGTTGCTGGGCTGCTTAAAAAAATGGGGGCATAAATTAAGAGTATACCCACCTCTCCAGGCACCACTAAACCACTGCTTACCCCTATGTCGTTCCAAACCCGCAAAAGCTTCGTTCGTCTTCGGAACACAAATTAAGATATTTTGGATGAAAACTGGGAGGCTTGTGACTGTCACATTGACTGCCGAGTAAATTACACTGTCAAGGTCCAGAAAAGGATGAAAAGCATCGTCAGAATAGTCCATCTGCCATCAGTGGTTCAACCGTACTTTTCATACTTTTCTGGACCTTAACAGTGTATTTTAGTTGGCAGTCTATGGGACAGTCACAAGCCTTCAGGTTTTCATCCAAAATATCTTAAATTGTGTTCCGAATACGAACAAAGCTTTTACGGGTTTGGAACGACATAGGGGTAAGTGATTAATGACAAAATTTTCATTTTGGGGTGGAGTATCCCTTTAACATTGGTTTTACCGGATATCTCTTTTGTAACCTCAATAGACTATCTAGCAGAAAACTGAAAATGGAAATGTGTGAGAAAAGCTCTTGAGGACAGTGTCAGTAATACAATAAAAATGCAAGGTTTAATTAACGGGCGTCCACACAGGACACGTTCTTGAGTCAATACAGCTAGGCTGAGCACAATAGAACTGCTTTGAAATACCTGAAATACTCTGAGGGGGAAAACAGCAAGTCATGGTGCAACGGCTAGATATGTTAATGTGCATATAGACCAGTGATCCTCAAATCTGGCTCGCGAGATCCACTTTCCAGCAGAGTTTAGCTCCAACCCTATAATCAAACAAACCTACCTGTGATTTTCTAATGATCCTGAAGACATTGATTAGCAAACTCAGGTGTGTTTGATTAGGGTAGAGCTAAACTCTGCAGGAAAGTGGATCTCGCGAGCCAGATTTGAGGATCACTGATATAGACCAATAATGTATTGCAAAGCATGTATTGTGTAAAGCATGTTACGACTGTAACAGATC